TAGGTTGATCATATGTAAATATGTTGAAGAGAAGAAGAGCAGAAATAGCACCTTGAGGTACCCCTGCTTTTATTTTAGATATGGTTGAAAGAGTTGTGCGGTAACGTACTGTAAATTATCGTTCATCAAGGTAAGATTGAAAGAATAAGTAGTAGTATGGAGGTAGAATTTGTTTTAGTTTAAAAAGAAGACCATCATGCCATACTCGGTCGAATGTTTGCGCAACGTCCAAAAAAAACAGCAGTGCAGTATTGTTTATTTTCAAGTGATGAGGTGACTATATCTGTTAAACGATTTATTTGTTGGATTGTAGAATGTCTGTTGCGAAAACCAAACTGCGTGTTTGGAATAATGTTTGTCTTAGCTATGATCGGTTTAATTCTTTTTAGGCGTAGTTTTTCAAATACTTTAGAAAAGAAAGGTAGAAGACTGATAGGTGTATAGGTCTAAAGAGGGGTGCTCCGGTGGTTTACCAGTTTTGAGTACATCTATTATTACAGAGAGCTTCCACTGCAGCGGAAAGTATGAGAGGCGAAGTATGGAATTAAATATATATGTGAGAAAAATAAGTGTTTTTTTGGGGAGATGCTTAGCGACCTCGTATGTGATCAAGTCGAAACCAGGAGATTTTTTAGTGGGAAATGTAGATATGCAATGTTTAACTTCGGCTGGAGAAAAGGATTTTAGAGGTAGTGTCAATTGGAGTGGGGATAATAAGAAGTTTTGTATTTTATTAAGAAGTTCAGTATTGTTTGCAGTTTCGTGGGGCTTAAAAACATTTGTTAAGTGTTTTTGGAAAAGTTCTACTTTTTCCTAATCATTTGCGGCCCATGAACCATCTTCATTTCTAAGTGGAAGGAATGTAGGTTTGTCTTTTACGGCTTGTTTGGTGGCTTTCCATAGAGATCCGTCATGCGCGGAAAGGGAAGCTAAATAGTTTGAGTAAGACTGGCTTCTGAAGTTTGCCAGTAATCTTTTAAGGTGTGCAGTTAGGGTGTTCAGTCGTCTTTTATCAGAAGGGTAATGAATAGACTGCCATAGATTTCTAGCCCGTCTTTTTTCAGTTATTAGTGTTCTAATATGGACTGGGAGATTTAGAGAAAATGGTGGTTGGTTTTGGTTGGGTAATGAAGAAGCCCTGGCAGCAGACTGTATTGTTTTTGTTAAATTTGTAACTGCATCATCTATGTTTTCGGGAGTTTTTAGTTTTATGCTTAGTTTAGTGGTATTAGTTAAGACGTCCTGAAACTTTCCCCAGTTAGTTGTTCTGTTTGCTAGAGTGGAAGTCGTGGAGCGAGTAGGAGGTGTAGAGTTTAGGGTTAAAAGAACAGAAGAGTGATCTGAACATAAGTCATTACAATTTTCAATATGATGAAATAGATTGTTTGGACTTTTTGTAACGAAGATATCAAGGATGTCTGGACGTTTATTTGGGGAGGTGGGCCAGTAGGTCGGATCGGAGGAAGCAAATGTTTTGTACCACGGGGGTTGCTTGTTCTGCAGCCCCAATTAGTATGTTTTACATTTATGTCGCCTCCTACTATACATTTGTTACCAAGAGAGTTAAAATATTGTTTGAATTGGTCGGTTGTTATTTTATGTTTAGGTGGACAGTAAGTAGCTGCTATTGTTATTGGGGTATGATTTAAAGTTATGTTTATTGCACAGGATTGTAAGTAATCTTTGCTGTAACTGGGTAGGGAGTAAAATTTTAAATGTGAGTGGACGAGGATTGCGGAACCTGCACGTGCAGTGTTGTCGGGGTGATGGGATGTAATAAGGTGATAACCGGGGATATTTAACTTTGTTCTGGAGGTTATGTGGGACTCAGATATAAGAGCTATATCAACTCTTTTTTCGTGCAGTACCGCGGTTAGGTCATTTGTGTGATTCAGGATTCCGTTAGGATTCCAGAGGAGGATTACAATGGAGTTTGATGTAAAAGTATTATTTGGCATTATTGTTTTTACGCGCTAGTGGCAGGTTGCCATCAACGGATTAGGGTGTTTGGCCTTATGTCGTATACATGGGACACACGTATAAATAAAATGTCTTACCGCATCGCGACCGGAAAGTATCCAAAACTTACGTCGCATCATTGATAAAACTAATTTTGGACCGGCATGTAAATATCTCTGATGGAAGTCTGGCGATTGTAGAGAGTACCTTGCGTTTTGTGAAAGGACGATCAGATTTAATATTAGTATGATAGGCAAACATATCCGAAGTAGGGTCCCAATGCATACCTAACACTTTTACGGCCGAATCATTTTTTGGGTCTAAAAACAACAGCGTTGAGTGATCAGCACAGTCTACTTTTCGAAGTGCTTGAGGCGAATTACTCGTCCACTTTCTGAGAGAGCAGCCACACGTCTTTAAAAGTCCTATCAAGTCGCTTTGAATTATTAACAATTCCTCAACGGTGTCAGCGCCGGCTACAATATCGTCGACGTAAGTGGATTTGGTCAATATACCCTTTGCACCAGGAAAATCGGACCCATTTTGAGCATCCAACTCGTTTAAGCATTTAATGGCGAGGTATGGAGCGGACGTAACTCCGTACGTAACTGTACACAGCTCATATTCGACAATCTCGGACTCAACTGAGTCCCGCCATAAAATATACTGATACCGGCGGTCTGAGTCACGCACTAGTACCTGGCGATACATTTTTGTGATATCGGCAGTCAACATATAGCGCTTAAGCCTACACTTTTGGAGAATGTCAAAAATATCGTTTTGGAGTTTAGGACCCGCTAATAATACGTCGTTCAGTGAAAACCCGGTTGATGTGGCGGCACTCGCATCAAACACCACACGTAATTTATCAATATTTTTTCCATCGCGTTTCACTACGGCGTGATGCAGTATGTAATAATAACCAGACTGAGTAGCCAGTCTCATATGACCAAGGGCGGCGTACTCGGCCATAAAAGCACGATATTCGGCGTACAACGCAGGGTCTTTAATCAAACGCATTTCTAAATTATAAAATCGTTTTAGAGCTACCGCGCGTGAATTGCCGAGGCCATGATACGGCGGCACTGTATCAAATGGCTGGTTGACACTATTGGGAAGACAAACGGAATCGCGAAATGGAAGTGCTACACAAAACCGACCATCATTTGCTCGCGTAGTTGTTTTTGAAAACCACTCTTCACATCGTTGTTCTTCCGTTATCGACTCAATTGGTGTTGCGGCTTACTCTATAGCCCAAAAGGAGCGCATAAGGTCATCTAATTTTACTGATGCCACTGATAAGGAATGAACAAGTGAGGTACTTTGTTCTTGCAATGAACCGCATACTATCCAGCCAAAATGTGTGTTTATCGCGGACGGCAAACCGTTGTGGCGTATGATGCCGCCACGAGGCCGCATTACGTGTGGGAATAAGTCACCGCCTATTTACATGTCTATCGGCGCGGGTGTATCGAATGCGGGATCAGCTAACAATAGATGTTTATAGCACTCGCGGACGGCGGACGGCAACGGTGATGTAGGCATGGTCGTTGTTATTTGCTGTAGTATTATGACATCGTTGCAACAAAAGGACGGTTCCAATTGTTGTCGCGGTAGAAGATAACAACTCGTTTCTCCATTTACTTCAGTGACAGGGTTTTTTCCAAGGCCCCTAATACTACGTAAGCATTTGCGTCTGGTGAGACCAAGCCGAGATGCACAACGAGTGGTTATTGCCGACACCTGCGAGCCACTATCTAACAAAATACGAATTGCCTGATAATTACCCCGACTATCACGTGCACGAATAACTGCGGTACCTAATACGACGGTATGATTTGCTTGCGATAAATCACAAAATTCTTGAACTTGAGGTTCTGAGGTATTTGGAGTTTCAGTACATGACGGGTTGGAATGAAGTAGAGTATGATGGCGTTTTTGACATTTTGAGCATGATAATTTAGATTTGCAATCAGCGGCGCGATGCATACTACTCAAACACGAAAAACGGAGACTTTCTTTGACAGCGACCTCGCGTCGTTTTTCTATTGCGTATGATCGAAAAACACTACACCGATATACCGGATGGGAGTCTGAGTAAAATGGGCATTTTTTAAAGTCTTTCGGTGATCCGGTGGTCCCGGTTAATACAGCTCTCGGTGGAGTATATGTTTTGTTAGAATTATTTTTATTAACGCGTTCTTTTTTATCGCTATTGTAGCCCTTAATGTTTTCTAAGATACGACAGCGCTGGCTAACAAAGGTAATCAAATCGTCTATGTTTGGGATAGTAGACTGCGTCACCGTGGCTTCGAATAAACGGCGTGTTTCTGGGTCTAATACTTTAGCGGCCATATAAAATAATAAGAAACCCGATAAATCCTCCACATCGAGATTTTTTATGGCTGTTACATTATCATTAAACACTTCAATAAAACCATTCAATGCGGATAATGACTCTGTAGCAATAGGTTTGAACGAAAATATTCTATCTAAATGTACCGATGCTAAGAGCCGTTGATTTTCATAACGCGTTATGAGAGCGCCCCACGCGTCGTCATAATTGGCGGCAGAGAGTGGGAAGGACTTTATTGTGTATAACGCTGGACCCGATAAACATGATAATAATAGATGAAATCTGTCGATTTTATTAACATTTCTTGCGGAAACAAAAGACTCAAACCTTTCATAGAATGATCGCCATTTTCCAGGACTACCATCAAATTTAGGCAAATCAAAATTCGGTAAATATGTACTGTACTGCGTTATAGGTGTCGATATGTTACTCGCGAAAGTGACTGGCATTAAAACTGAATTGATTTTAAAAATAAGCGTCTCAAATAATAAATAACGAGTACCGAATAATTTTGTCATGAATAATCAAATAAAAGATAATTTTTGACTTTGTTACTTAATTCCTCCGTCGACCAAAATGTATTTTACTCATGAGAGTTTTATCTAAATGTTATTAAAACAGCAACATGAACTTCTGAACACTTAAAACTGTGCATTTAAACTTTAAATTTGTTTTCTTGTTTTAGGGTATCTCCAAAAAATTACAAGAAGTCGCAACGATCAGCGTGGTGCAGCATCTTTTAAAGTTGAAAAAAGAGGGCAAAGTTTTAGAAATTGACGATCACTGGAAAATCAATAAAAAATCAAATTTGTGATACACTTAATTTTAAAAATTTTTTTTTTTAATAACACAATATTGTTTTGTCGTTACCGCAAATCGTTGCAAACAAAGTGGTATAATGTTGGAAGCTATAAACATTGTTCAACATTTTTATAAGTGGTTTGGGTTGAATTTATTGTTATTTTGTTGTACTCTGGATGTAGTTCATTATATTGTTGTTGATATATTTATACACATATACATTTTAATATTTATAAATAACTAATATAATATAATACCATATTGTTACACAAAAGACTTGAACGTATGATGTGCATAGTTTTTTTGCCGAATTAAGATTTAATAAAAAAAAAATCAGTCTACACTTAATTACAAAGGAAATCACTTGCACCAAAATAAGACAATAAGACATTGTTTATACAGAACAAATTTGTAATTTTACTCAGTTTTTTGTATTACAGATTTCCACTGTTTGAATTATATTAAAAACAAGTATTGATAGATTGATGATATTTTACTTTTGGTATACTGTATATTTAGAGTGAATTACAGCCGTTTCATTAGTTTGGTAATTAAAAAAAGAATAGTAATATCTATAGCAAGGAAGACATCACCGGAGCTCACATTAGTATTAATCTAACCAGAATAGAAAGAGTTCAGCAATACCACTATCTTGGCACCGTCATTAACGAAATAAAATGACGCATTGGTAAAGCCAGAAGTGTATTTATTAATGTCATAGACTGAGAAAATTACCAATATTGAGGTATTGCGTAGAAAGGGAAAGGAAAAAGAATTAGTTACAACAGTTAAATGCATAAAACTCCAGTACTTAGGACATATTATGCGGAACAAGTGCAGATATGACCTTCTCCAATGTATCCTACAACGAAAAATAGATAGCAAAAGAAGTCCTGGAAGAAGAACATCGTGGCTAGCCAACCTCAGAACATGGTTTGACAAAAGCTTTGTAGAATTGTTCCGGAGTTCCACTAGCAAAACTAGCATATCAATAATGATCGCCAACATCCGAAACGGATCGGCACATTAAGAAGAAGAAGAAGAATAGGATTTAAATTAAAAAGAGATAAAATATAAGAGATTAGAGATTATAGATAAGAGATATGTTATTGGGATGGGGATTGGCTTGAGGTCGACATATTTATGTGAGATATATATATATATATATAATGATATATAAGACATATCACTCGGAATGTAACTATGGTAACCACGGTACTCGAGCGAATGGTAGGTGATGACAGACGAGTAATACACTATTCAGCGATTAGACAACATTTATTTTACAACGTTACTTACAGAAGTAATAGATAATAACGGTCGGTGGGCACTGAAGTACAAGATGTACTTGCGCGTCTCTAGGCGATTGATGTGGCGTGAAAACACAGCGTCAATGCAGGTCGAATTGCGCGAAGTGGAATCAGCGAGATCATTGTTGAGTTATAGTACGAGATCGGTACTCATAAAATTTGTAAAATTGTTTACTTATAATAATTAGTAATACAAAATAATTTATTATTATTTAAAAAATTCATTTATTTTTGTAAATTATTATGGATACGAGTATGGTCTGTGCATGCGGCAGAACAAATAGATGTAAAAATAGAAATTACAAATTAGTAATTATGTAATTTTTATTGTTTAAGACGTCATTTTTCATAAAACCTGTCACTTGTTCGGTTTCACTAGACTCCCTGCCATCCCGACTATACCCATCCCTCCACTAACATTGGTATGGTTTTGCATTTATATAAAAAAAAATACGCAGTTTGAAAAGGTTAAGTTTATTGTAATGTAGAGCACAGGCTTTTTTTACAAATATATTTTTTGTATAACAATCTATGATGCATAAATTTTAAAATATGTAAAAAGATGTATCGACCATTTTTTTTATGTGTAATAAAAACTTTGTCTATATTTTCAAAGAAAATTTAGTTTTATCCTTTTATTAAATAATCATTTTTTCCTAATATCCATTACGTACTAGACATTCCTAAATGCTTAATTAACTATAATCCTACCCCCTCCCTTAACCTAACCCCTCAACGTTGGTGTTTTTTAAGGTTTATTTAAAAATATACGCAACTTGATAACTGACTGAGTAGACTAGCTTTGCAATTATAATTGTTTGGATAACAAACTGACTCATAAAAAAAAAAGAAATAATATTTACAACAACGACTACAATTAAATATTAACGGATAACAAAATTAAATTGTAAATAAATAATTATAATTGGAATTGTGTTTATTTTTTTTTTTTAAATTTCTTAATAGGAATCTTGAAAAATGTTTATAATATAATAAGCAACACCTAGTTTACATTGTGAATAGCATTCAAAATTTAAGTACTAGGTACACAAAAAAAACAAAACAAAGAAAAATGCCTTCCTTTTTTTTGGTTTTTTCGTGAGAGCTTTTTTGCTGTTCCAAGCTGTTAATAACGTTGGAAACACAAACATACATGTAGTTATAAATTAAAAAAAAGTCGAAAGATTTCATAAGCAATAATAAAAAAACACACATCAGAGTAAAACATCAGGGTCTTTATAAGAAAGTTATTTATCAATACATTTCTGATATAAATCTCTGAATAATAATATATCTAACATTTTGACTTATTTGGTACTAACGATATTAGGAGTATTTGGAATGTCGACAATTGTTTTATACAACGCTAATCAAAATCATTGTTTTGCTAGCGAAATATTTCATCCTGCTCTAGTGTTTTTTAAAAACATGAACGTTCTGTTATTTTACAAATAACTTTGCCTATTGCGCCATTCTTTAATAATATTGGTTCAATATAGTTTAAATAACATTTGTCAAATAATGTATAATATATTCATTTACATTTAATTCGACACATAATGTTTTAAAAAAAAAAATTTACTATTGAAATTATTTTTAAAAAAATAATTATTTGTTTAGGTTCAACATATACTATATATCATATATTTTTACTATTGATTTGTATACCACGTTCCTACACAGAAAAATATACATAGTGTGGCAGACAAAACTAATTCGAATATTTTTAAAAAAAACTTATTGAGAATACTAACATTCATTTCAAAAATATGTAAACTTTTTGGGTGTTTTTCTTGATTGTAAAAGGGATTTAGTGATGTTTTTCAAATTTTTGCCCACTTATGTACATTTTAGGTTAGATTTCTGAAAAAGAGTTGATACACGTATCAAAGCTCTGTACAATAATATATATTTAACATTTTAAATTATTTGGTACTAATAATATTAGGAATATTTGGAATATTGGACAATTATTTTTAACAACGCTAACCAAAATTGTTTTTTTGCTAGCGAAATATTTCATCCGGCTATAATAAATGAATAAAACTGTATCAATATAGTGTAAATTACATTTTTTAAATAATTTGTATTATATCCCTTTATATCTATTTCTACACATTATGTTATCTAAATTAATTAATTGTAAATGTTTTTAAAAACAACGGCCTTACTATGGTTTAATTTAGGGACACGATAAATGTCTTGTTAGAAAAACTAAATAATGGTTTGGTCCAACTAATTATTACAGGAACAAATTTTTAATTAGTTATTTCGTTTACGAATTTTGTTTTACCCATTATCCCTATAATAGGCAAACTTTAGTTGGACCCAGTTTTTATTAAGCCAGTCCAACTAGAAATGTTTTGTACCCTTCTATTAACCATAGTTTTAGTTGGACCAACTTTGTATTTTTGAAAGAGTTACTAGTTTACTTATTTTTATAGCGATCACACGGTAAACCTTGTGCCCATTATATTTTGTTATTTGAACCTCTGTATTAAAATTGTTTTTTTGCTTGCAAAATATTTATTCCACGCTAGTGTTTTTTAGACACATGGTTATTCTGTTTTTTTACAAATAACATTGCCTTTTGCGCCATACTTTAATAAAATTGGTTCAATATAATATAAATTACATTTTTTTTATAATGTATATTATATCCCTTTATATTTTATTCTACACATAATGTTATCCAAAATTAATTAATTGTAAATTAAAAAAAAAAAAAAAATGAACGATTGAAATTTTTTAAATAAAAATAGTTTCTTATCCTTATTGAATTATTTGTGTAGGTTCAATATGAAGTATACATTATATATTATTACTATTGAATTGTAGACCAGGTCCCTACACAGAAAAATGTACATAGTGTGGCATAATTAAACCGTGGAAAAAAAAGGAACATGATAAATATCTTTTTGGAGGAACTGAATAAATAATTGGGCCAAATAAATGTTTATAAAAATTACAAATTTGTAATTAATTATTTCAACTACAAATTTACTGTACCCTTAATCCATATAGGTAATAACCATAATTTAGTTGGATCAAGTTTTTATTAAATCAGTCCCACTAGAAGTGTTTTGTTCATTACTTGTTTAAACCATAATATTGAACATAATTTTGTAAATAATGTAAAGGCCCCTGTCGGTAAAACCCAAGCAATAGACCCTATTGTACATAATCCCAACATGCATTAATCATACGCCAAAATAACTCAACAATCTTACTATAGTAACTGTTTAGGATTGTAGGTTGTAGGTGATAGTAACTAGGTAGGTTTTAATAACGCTCTAGTTGTCGCAGTGACAGAAAATGTTTTATTAACATTAACGATAAGTGACAATGCATAAAAGTTGATTTAAGACATAAGAGAAAATAACAACACATAAAAGTTGATTTAAGACATAAGAGAAAATAACGACACATAAAAGTTGATTTAAGACTTAAGAGAAAACCAAAAATGATACGTAAATAATAACGGCAACTAAAATAAACGCGACGTCGGTCGTACTGACGGGACGGTGGGAGAGCTGCGTCGGACGGTCGGACAACCGGTGTAATGCCGGAATGACTCTGACTATTACCCCATAGGATGCGACGTGTGTGACGACCGATATAATGCCAGAATCACTCCGACTATTATACCACTGGCCGACGCACCAACCGCACGACGAGCTCCCGGGAAACAAGGGAGAAGTCAGTTTACTGCCAAGCGCAAGTCTGCCGCGGGTGGGTCTTACTACAAGGCAAGTAAACGACTGGATAATTGACCATCGGTCACTCAGCCTTTTATACCCGACCTTTCGGCGATAATAAAGTGACGGACTCGTGTTCTGTACCGAACTTTGTCAGGTAGGACTAGTGTTCTGTGACGGAAACCGCCGCTTTATTATCGCCGAAACGTCGGGGATACAATTTTATATTAGATAACAAAAATAATAGTAATAATGGATAATGGAAAAGAAACGGGTGGCGTAGACATCCTGCCCGCCTTGAATGCGTTCAGCATTTAACAGACTGGAAGTGGACAAAGCTTCACAATTGGTCTCTTAATGATTCCGGTGGTGGTTTGAACAGTAGCAACTCGAGCAATCCCATCCTGGCCGGGAGACAACGAGAGAATCCGTCCGAGTTTCCAAAGCAGTGGAGATGTGGGCTCTCGAACTAGGACTAACATATTGGGTGTCAAGTTGTCACTATGGTTTGTCCATTTGGTGCGCTGTTGGAGAGTTTGTAGGTATTCATTTTGCCATCTTTTCCAGAAATGGGTGTGGAGGTCCTTGATCAGTCTCCACCTCTGAAAATGAGATAAAGGAATATTATCCAGGTTGGGTTCAACATTTGCGGTACTAGTCATGAGGGTGAGAAAATGACTCGGCGTGAGGGCCTCAAAGTCTGATGGATCTGAACTCAAGGCACCCAACGGACGAGAGTTTAATGTAGCTTCGATACGACTCAGCAATGTGTTCAATTCTTCATATGTCAGTCGTTGAAGCCCAAGAGTTCGGTAAAGTAGCGTTTTTACGGACTTGACCCCAGCCTCCCATAATCCTCCGAAATGAGGAGCGGACGGGGGGTTGAAATGCCAACGGATGTTCCGAGCTGTTAAGTAAGCTTGACACTGGTGTTGATACTCCTTGGAACGGGTGAATTGATCGACAGGCTGGAGTAATTTAGCCGCTCCTGTGAAATTGGTTCCGCAATCACTGTGCATTTCTTTAATTGGTCCGCGTCTGGAGATGAATGGACACAGAGCCATCAGAAAAGTTTCCGTTGATAAGTCAGAGGCAACTTCTAAATGTAATGCCTTGGTTGACATACATACAAAGAGGCAGATGTAGGCTTGACTGGGCACGGTTCGCCGCGTGGTTGAAGATCTTAATACTATTGGACCGGCGTAATCCACGCCTGTTGTCATAAATGGTTTTATCTGTTGCAACCGATACTTAGGCATGTCACCCATGCAGGGTTGTGAATTGCGTGGGCGTGTTTTGTAACACGCAATACAGCGCCTTAATCTCGATCTAATAATTTGGCGACTAGATATTATCCAATATTGCTGTGAAATAATTGTTTGCAGCGTTGTGGCACCGGGATGTTTATGCCGTTGATGAAAATCGTCAATAAGCAGGTTCGTTAGTCGGTGGGAGCGTGGCAGAAGGATTGGATGCTTCTGTTCATATGGAATGGTTGCATGCCTTAGTCGTCCACCCACACGTATGATTCCTTGTTCATCTAGGAATGGACTGAGCTTTCGTAGGTTACTAGTGCCAGTACCGGAGTGACTACTTAGTTGCGCGAAGTCATCCGGAAATGATTGCCTTTGCACTGCTTGAATAATCCGGTTCAGGGCTTTTACTTGTTCACAAGGAGACAGCTGTATGGTGCTTGGGTTGGATTTGTTGAAGACTCTTGAACAGTACGCGACAATATGTATGATTGTAGAGAGTGATGAGAACTTGTTTAACAGTTCTTCGAAGATATTCTGGTTGATAGTTATTACTAGAGTAGTTTTACGTTCTTCTGAATTTGTTGCATCACTGTCATTGTGGGTAGCTGTTGGTGGCCATGTATTGGGGTTCTGAGAAAGAAATCTGGGACCAGTCCACCAGAGTGGGTGATGAATAACTTCAGACGGATATAGTCCTCTTGAGGCACAGTCGGCAGGGTTGTCACTCGTGGGAACATAACGCCAAATAGATGGTGGTGTGAGTTGCTGTAGTTGGCTTGTTCTATTGGCAACGAACGTTGTCCATCGATGAGGTGACGATTTTATCCATGCTAGAGCTGTGGTTGAATCGGTCCAAGCATGCATTGCAGTGATGTGGATGATGGAGACAAGAATGTCATGTACTGAGCGCAACAGTCTTGCGGCGAGTAGGGCGCCGCAGAGTTCCAAACGTGGAATGGTGACGCGTTTAAGGGGGCTACCTTCGATTTTGCCGTGATGAGGTAGCATTGGACCATGGAACCATTGTTACACCGTAGATAAACTGCAGCGGCATATCCCTTTTCGGAGCTATCGGAAAAAGTATGTAACTCATACGATGGATGTCCATCCGACGTGATCCGACGAGGGATAGTCAATGTCTGTATGCACTTAAGCTCTTGTTGATACCGTTTCCACATCATTAGTATTTGCTCGGGAACGGGATCGTCCCATCCAATTCCGGACGTCCATAATAGTTGCATTACATATTTGGCCAGGAAAATAACAGGTGCCAAGAAACCTAATGGGTCGAAGATACGTGCCATATCTGATAGAATCGAACGTTTTGTGGTCGTAAGGCTCGGACTATGATAATTGTATGAAAAATAGTCCTGCTTAGGGTTCCAATGCATGCCGAGGATCTTGAGTGTTGCTTGTCCGTCGTCGTCAAACAATACCGCGGGATCCATGGAACAATCAGTGGCGGGCACAGCTTTCAAGACGCTGGGTAGATTACTAGCCCATTTTCTCAGTTGGAATTTCCCTTGAGCACACAGAGCAATCACCTGTTGTTGACAGAAAAGTGTGTCTTCTTCTGACTGGGCGCCGGTAAGAATGTCGTCAACAAACATGTCGTTCTTCAGCACGTTAGCAGCAATTGGAAAGTTTGACTCTTCCATTGTCGCCAGGTACTGCATCGTACGCAAGGCTTGGTGAGGAGCACACGAGGTTCCATATGTGACTGTACACAGGCGATATTCTTGGATTGGTGAGTCTGATTTAAAGCGCCAAAGAATGCGCAAATAGTCTCGGTCGGTTGGATGGATTTGGATTTGTCGATACATCTGCTTAACATCTGCAGTGAATACAAATTTATTTACTCGAGCTCGAATCAAAATTTGTATCATCTCCTGCTGTAACTTCTGCCCTGTGTACACGCTGGAATTCAATGACTGCCCAGTTGTAGTTCGAGCTGAGGCGTCGAAAACTACACGAAGTTTTGTAGTTTGACTTTCCGGACGAAGGATACAATGATGCGGTATATAATAGCAATACGGAATAATTTTATTGCTTGCAGGAACCACTTCCATGTGTTTACTTTCTAAGTAATCTCGCATAAAATCTGCGTATTGACTGCCCAAATTTGGATCTTGAGACAGACGCCGTTCGAGAGCATGAAATCTTCTAAGCGCTCCACTTTTGGAATCTCCAAGTAATGGACGCGGATGTTTGAATGGTATGGCAACACTGAACCGTCCAGAGGCTAGGCGTTTTATTGAAGATGTAAAGATGGTTTCCGCCTGAACTTCGTCAGGACTAAGGTGTTGTACCTTTGGTGCCTCCTCCATCTCCCAAAACCGTGTTAGCGATTGTTCTAGTGTTTCGGTTGTGGTCACTAACAATGAGGTAGCTGGTTTGTTGGATGTTTGTGATATTGGTCCCATCAAAATCCATCCAAATATGGTACCAAAGGCTGTTGGTTCTGATGGATGCCCTGCGACGCGGGTGCCAGTCAGTATGGTTGGTGCGACATCAGCTCCTAATAAGATGTCAACTGGACCAGATAGATGAAACGTCGGATCTGCTAATTCCAAGTTGCTGATGTGAGACCATGAAGTGAACGAAAGACTTGACTGCGGTGTTGCATCGGTAATTTTGTTAACCACAAAGACATCGAGCGAGATGCGGGGCTCAGTTTTACCCACTGGTACCAGCTCGATTGATATTTTGCCAGACACTGCGTTTACTGACGTCCCGGAGAAAGTGTTTACTTTAGACGAACAGCGGCGTTGAGTTAGTGACAGGCGATCAGCACAATTTTTTGTTATAAAGCTGACCTGGGATCCGGTGTCCAATAGTGCTCGGAAAGTATAGGTTTCCTTGTTTATCGACGAGATATTGACCAGTAAGGTTGATAGTAGAACAGATCGTGGTCGAGGATGTGTCGCTACCATTGAGGTTGGCGGAACAGTATCGTCACTTGATGGCATCTTTTCGTGGAAATGAAGTAGTGAGTGATGATGTTTCCGACAGGATTTACACGTGTTTTTTGAGGGACATGATGTTGACGAGTGACCAGCGCCTAAACAATTTATGCAGAGATTTAACGACTTTGTTACTTGAAACCGTTCAGTAGGAGAGTCCTTAAGAAACGTTGGGCATTGACGTATTGAATGGACCGCTTTGCATAATGCACATTTGGTGCTGGGCGTCTGTGCAACAGTTGTAGTTAGAACTCTGGTCGATTGACGATGGTTAGTTCTTGAACTGGGGTTTTTGAAGGATGGTTTCATGGCATTACTTGTTGATGTAGAACCAGACGGATGAACTTCTGCCGATCGGATATGATTTTTTAGGAAGTCCACAAATTCGTTTACCGTGGGAGCATGATTTTCGCCAACCCGTAACTCCCAGCGAGACCGCAACTCATAATCCAGGTGTTGTTCGAATATGTGAACCAAAATTGGCCCCCACTGGCGAGTGACAAAATTTAAGTTGTCTAATGCGGCAGTATGTTCTTGAATGATGTTGATTATGTGTTTGATTGAGCCGGCATTGGTAAAAGTAACCTTTTGAGGCACCAATAGTGCGTCTAAATGGATACGTGCTAAATCACGTTTGTTCCCGTACCTGCTTCGCAAGATCGTCCATGCACTTTGATAATTGGCTGAGGTCAACGCAAGATGCGCTATAAGGGAAAGAGCTTCTCCTTCTAGCGCTGTTTTTAGAAACTCAAATTTCTCAACATCTTGAAGTTCTGGTGAATGAGACAGTATTGAGTTAAACAAATCATCGAAACCTTGCCACTCTTTTAGACTTCCGGAAAAGGTGGGAAACTTGCGTTTAGGCAGTTGGTACAACGACGAATTCCCGGATTGAGTGGTCTGGTTACTGAACGTTTGCGTGATTTCGACTTGTTTAGCCAATGGAATATTATGTATGTGAGCCATAGCTATAAGATCATAATAGAGTTGGTCGAATGAATCACTTAGCGAAGTGCTACAAGAATTATCAGTGACGTCGATAGGCGCTGTTTTAGATCCCACTGCAGTTTCCATGATTTGAATGTCTTTTTCGACTCGGGCACGCAGACTGTTCAGTTCTAAGAGCATGGTTTCTACCTTTGCCCGTTTGCTGGTACTGGTTTGTTCGGCGAGATACTCATTTGTTGCCTTTGTGAACCTCGTGATGGTGGCCAATGCTCGCACTACTCGAGCCTTGGCGTCGACGTATTTGATTGACTCTGGCATAGTCATTTTGATATGAAGCGATGCAAGTTGAGTGGACTGTATGTAGAAGACGGTAGATTTCTGGTGAGGTCTTGGTTTGTTCTGTTGTATCCGGCCCGAAGGACCAAATGTTTAGGATTGTAGGTTGTAGGTGATAGTAACTAGGTAGGTTTTAATAACGCTCTAGTTGTCGCAGTGACAGAAAATGTTTTATTAACATTAACGATAAGTGACAATGCATAAAAGTTGATTTAAGACATAAGAGAAAATAACAACACATAAAAGTTGATTTAAGACATAAGAGAAAATAACGACACATAAAAGTTGATTTAAGACTTAAGAGAAAACCAAAAATGATACGTAAATAATAACGGCAACTAAAATAAACGCGACGTCGGTCGTACTGACGGGACGGTGGGAGAGCTGCGTCGGACGGTCGGACAACCGGTGTAATGCCGGAATGACTCTGACTATTACCCCATAGGATGCGACGTGTGTGACGACCGATATAATGCCAGAATCACTCCGACTATTATACCACTGGCCGACGCACCAACCGCACGACGAGCTCCCGGGAAACAAGGGAGAAGTCAGTTTACTGCCAAGCGCAAGTCTGCCGCGGGTGGGTCTTACTACAAGGCAAGTAAACGACTGGATAATTGACCATCGGTCACTCAGCCTTTTATACCCGACCTTTCGGCGATAATAAAGTGACGGACTCGTGTTCTGTACCGAACTTTGTCAGGTAGGACTAGTGTTCTGTGACGGAAACCGCCGCTTTATTATCGCCGAAACGTCGGGGATACAATTTTATATTAGATAACAAAAATAATAGTAATAATGGATAATGGAAAAGAAACGGGTGGCGTAGACAGTAACAATACTCAAACCCAAAATACAACTAATGCTGACAAAGATTTTACTAAACATTTTTTTTCATTTCTAACTGATCTCAAATAATTAATCAACCCCATAATATACTTGTTAATAACAGTAATAATTAAAATTGTTTACAAAAAGTGTCTAATGATTCTAATCTTAATAAAATTTCTCCCAAAGTACTTCTTTAGAATGCTAATGGACTTCAATAGCATAAAAATGAGTTACAAACTATATCAAACGACAATATTATTGACGTAGCTCTAGTTAGTGAAACACACTTTACTGAAAAATCACACATTTACTTATAAAACTATACTTCATACAAAACTAATCATCCTGACGGCTCATCTTACACTGGTACTTCTATTTTAATATCAAATACCATACAACACAACAAAATCAGACCGTACCAAAAACAACACATTCAAGCGTCAAGCGTGTCAGTAAATATTAATAATGTTCCAATTACTATTTCGGCTGTCTATTGTCCTTCTCGTTATAATATACGTCAAGTTGATTTTCAAAAATGTTTCGACACTTACGGGTTTGTATATGAATATGCCCAACTAAATATTTACAGGAACAAATTTTTAAATATTTATTTCGTTTACAAATTTTGTTTTACCCCTAATCCCTATAATATCCAAACTTTTAGTTGGACCCAGTTTTTATTGAGTCGGTCCAACTAGAAATGTTTTGTACCCTGTAAGTTTATTTGGACCAAGTTTTTATTTTTGGAAGAGTTATTGATTTACTTAAATTTATAGCGATCACACTGTAAATCTTGTGCCCAATATATTTTGTTTTTTGAAGGGGTTTCTTTATAAGAAATTTATTTATCAATACATTTCTGATTTAATGCTGTATAATAATAAAATTAACATTTTGACTTATTTGATACTAATAATATTTGGAATATTGGACAATAATTTTATACAACACTAACCAATATCGTTTTTTTGTTTAAAAAATATTTATTCGGCGCTAGTGTTTTTTAGAAACATGAACGTTCTGTTATTTTACAAATAACATTGCCTTTGCGTCATATTTTAATAAAACTGTTCAAATATAGTATAAATTACATTTGTAAATAATGTATATTATATCCCTGTATATTTTATTCTACACATAATGTTATCCAAATTAATTAATTGTAAAAGTTTTTATAAACAACGGTCTTACTTTTTTATGGTTTAATATAGGGACACTATAAACTTCTAGTTGGAAGAACTAAATAATGATTTGGCCCAATAAATATTTACAGGAACAATTTTTTATTGACATATATCTAAAATTTTGACATATTTGGTACTCATTTGGTGATAATATTATATTAGGGATATTTGGAATATTGGACAATTATTGCAAAAATTTATTTTATACAACGCTAATCAAAATTGTTTTTTTGACTGCGAAATATTTTTTCGGCGCTACTTAGTGTTTTTTATGTACATGAACGTTCTGTTTTCTTACAAATAACATTGCCATTTGCGTCATACTTAAATAAAACTGTATAAGTATAGTATAAATTACATTTGTTAAATAATGTATATTATATCCCTTTATATTTTATTTTACACATAATGTAATCCAAATTAATTAATTGCAAATATTAAAAAAAAAAAATTAACAATTGAAATTATTTAAATAAATTTCCAATTACTATTTCGGCAGTCTATTGTCCTCCTCGTTATAATATACGTCAAGCTGAATTTTTAAAAATTATTCGACCCATTAAGTCATTTATATTTAGCTGGTGGAGACTTGAACTCAAAACATTTTTTATGGGATGTAACTGGAATAACCAAAAAGGATAATTCCTACGTTCATTAATTACCAATAAACATTTTTCATTTAATTCTCGTTCAAGTCCAACTTAAGGGTCAACTCATGCCAATAGGCATCCCGATATTTTTGGTGTCTAATACCCAGTTTGGATTTCGTGCCAGTCACTCTACAATTCACCAAATCCATAGATTGACAGATACGATCGCTTCAGCATTTTAAAACAAGCAATATTTTACTGGCTTATTTCGTAATGTCGCACAAGCGTTTGATAGATTTGGCCCAGTGGTCTACTTTACAAACTGAAAAAATATTTCCAGTCCCTATATGTATCCCTTAAAATAAAACTATACTCTCAAGACAGAAAATGTATAGTCAAAAAAATTTGTGCTTATTCACCTTGCTTTTCTAACACGTTACTAGCTACTTTTGTTGACGATACAGCTATATTAATTTGTCACAAAAATAGAAGCGACGTGGCTCACTATTTACAATACGATAAACATCTGTGAGACATGGCTTAGGAATAAAAATAAATCCAGTCACGTTACCTTTGCTCTCCGTCATGAAACATGTCCTGCTGCAATACTCAACAACACAGTTATCACTACTCCAAATGAGACAAAATATCTTGGTTTAATACCAGACAAACGTCTAACCTGGGGACCTCACATCAAAAAATAAATGAAAAAATCAAATATTATTATATTGCATCTTTTCTGCCGGATTCTTAAATCCAAGCTGCCACTAAAAACTAAATTACTTATACATCAACAGTAAGACCAATACATGCGTTCCCAAATATATCACTACGAACGGTCACAAATGCCCCAAGGGGTACCAAACGTTACTGGAATAGAGACCTACTAACATAAAATAAAAAACTCAATAACATTACCACACTTTACATATAGAGTTGTTACCAATGGATGGCTTCCCTTTCAAGGCATTCAAGCTTTGTAATATAACTTAGAAAAAAAACTTACTGTACATATTTTTGTATAGCTTGTTTTTTTTTGTAAAATAAAAAAAAGAATTTTTTGGTGTCTGCTAAAGTTGTTTAAATGATATTGTATTGTTAACTAGTTTGTAATTATAAATTAATACAATTTTTCAACTACTACATACTTTCATGCCATTTTAAAGAAATTCGTTTTTCAAAGGGCTTATAATTTCTGAATTCTTTTTTTTTACTAACACCATAAAAATGTATAAAGCTTAATCTGTGTAATGAGTTACATTACATTATATTTATGGTTTTTTCCCTTTAGAACGAATTCTTTCACAATAAAAACATACGGGGACGGTAGTTTGTTGTGGTAGAGTACTTTTATATTAGCGTTTAATTAGCTATTGCTCATTTTCACACCGTAAGTGAAACTGTATTAAATGGTGGTTCAATATTATAAAATAATAATAATGTCAATTGTCACTTTTATTCTATTAAAACCATTTGCTACTATTACAGAAATAAAATAATTATTTAATGAACAAAAATCTAAATATTCATTTTATTTCGAATGTTAACACAAAAAAATTTAATGAATGCTATAGCATGCTATTGATACAGTAAATGCATTATTTAACAATCAGTTCTGTTTTCGGTTTATTCGATTTTAACCATAATGGGATTTGTAATTTTCTACTTTTGACCAACTAAAGTACCAACCACAAACGTTTTTAAAACTATAGATATATTAATCGAGTAGGTTAGTTTACGGGGAAAAAATTATTGTGACTTTAGACTAGAAAAAATCTTGACAAAACCACTACGGTAAATTTACGAACAGTCGGTATAATTTGGCAAAAAATGTCATAAACAATATTATTACAAATCAATAACTCAGTACATAATAAACAATACATAGACTCAAATTATTCTTGTATTCAATGGTCAAAATATATTATTGTATTCAATAAAATAACTATATTACACTCGGTTTATATTTATTTAAATTATAATTTTATAATTGTGAATGTTGTTATTATATTTAACATTTTCCTGATTGTCATTAGTCTAAACATTCGGACTTCTTACTGTAAACATTAGCTATAAACATTAAACTAATCGCAAACTGACCCTACATTAAGTGTAAACGAAAGCCCCAATTCGGGAAACACTTTATCTATGAAAAATTCGATTTTTTCATCGAGTTGCTGTTCAATACCTGTTTGCGATTTTTCAGCATAATCTGTGTGATTTTCTACTGATATGGGCTTCATCTGATCGAATATTATGTTTAGTTCTTTTTTCATTTTTGACAAAATATCGATGAAAGTATTCATTTGTATAAGTAACTGTTCCTCATTGTACCTTCCCTCACTTCTATTATAAAATTTTTCGCCATCGAAATTTGTTA